CCTGCCAAAACAAACTTGTTGTGACCAATGACCCACAGCGCTTGGACGAAGTAGTGTCCTTTGTCCTGTTTTGGAAAAGATCACCTCAGCATTCCCTTATGTTGAGTAATACCAATTAAGGTCACAGAGTCACAAAATGCTAGTGGGAAAATTAAAAAATGTAAGCAGAAAATAAAACACACACACAGACACATATCTTGACAGAGGGAGAAAATCTTCTATTTCATAATCTTGGCAATCGAAAATATTCTGGTATATTTTGTTAAAAAGACCCGGACTTTCAGCCATCTTTGTGTTGTCTGCTTCGCTAAAAAAGATATAGGTTTTCTTGCGGTCATTAGCTGTCCATGAGGTCAGGGGTTACTTCTCGGGTTTCGGGCAGAATTCACGCATGCTGCCGCTGGAAAGGATTTTTGTCTAAATAAACACGTTTAGAGGTTGGGACCACCCTGCGAAAGTGTTCTTTCAAGGTCTCAAACTTAGGTAGATGACTTTTGGCTACGATGTTCTGACATAGTTCCCATATATTAACATAGGAAAGAGAATTACTTGGTTGTCACGATAAATCAGAACTTGCCTAGTCATGTGCGGCAGAGTAATAAATACACCTATTGGCGTCGTCCCTGCTCGATACTATAAATTTGTGGACTACTAAATATAAAATCGTTATTTTCTGTCTTTAGAAACTATCCACCCGGCAGCTATAAAACATGTATGAACGTCCACGAGTTACGGTCTGCTCTTAATGAGGACGCTCCTCGGCGGGAGAGCAAGTGGGAGGAACACTTCATTAACTTCCACTTCTCTGGGAACGAGCTGAACGGGGCTCAGCGGTCTTCTGTCAACGGACATCGCTTCATACCACCGAGGTCTCCTCCAACGGTATGTCCCTCTGTTCTTTTGGTCTACTTAAATTAATGTCAGTAAAAATACAAAGTGACAAGGGATAGAGTTGCACAATTTGAGCGGAAAACGTATAAAACGTATAAAGCGGGATTTCACTTGCAAACGCAACATCATGATCTTGAAAAATGGTGAAAACATTACTGGCAACAAGGAGAAAGATGGGAATCCTACGCCACAAAACCTCAGGGCTTTGGCGGAGCGTTTTACTTGTAAAGTTTGCCGTTCTGCGACATGGCCACACATTGCAAATCTAAATTAAAAACTATTTAATAGAACGCCCCGTCAACACATTGAAGGGCAGTTATACTGGCTACACCAATACAGAAACGAGGTGCTGTAATCTACGTTTTACTTTAGTGTAGCGCCTCGTTGCCCTGTCCCTTGGTTTGTGCTGTTAAGAATAATACGGCATTTGTCTACAAAAAACTGTCCCTGCAACGTTCCTCAGGTTGACAGGAAGGGCGCCGGTCTTACTCCGTGTGTGGACAAAGACTGTGGTGGAGAGAACTTCTGTGAATGTTCCTATTACATCAGCATAAATACCGGTAACGTCGTACAACTGGTGCTGTACAACATGGGCAGTGGTGAGTACAACTGGTCTTGAACACAGTTTACTGCATTACAGTTATAATGTCTTTTACCTGTTGCTGTACATATACAACATGGGCAGTGATGAGTACAACTGGTCTTGAACACAGTTTACTGCATTACAGTTATAATGTATTTACCTGCTGCTGTACATATACAACATGGGCAGTGGTGAGTACAACTGGTCTTGAACACAGTTTACTGCATTACAGCTATAATGTCATATAATTACCTGCTGTTGTACATATACAACATGGGCAGTGGTGAGTACAACTGGTCTTGAACACAGTTTACTGCATTACAGTTATAATGTCTTATAATTACCTGCTGCTGTACATATACAACAT